ACAGAAAAAATATTAACACAGTCTAATTGTGTTGCATGAAGATCTGGAAATGGATTCAATTTATGCATATTAGAAGACTGTCTAAAAAACATAGACAACGAGGTTCTTTTTTTACTCACATCTAGGCTTCCAATGATGCTGTTTTTTCATCTTTATTCAGTGTTTCAAATATTTGGAAACAAATTCAGGTTTACAATTTTAATTGTTCACTTTCTGAAATAAATTTCATTTGTTTATACATTCATGCACCCGTGCATATCAAACGTAGGGTTAGCTGTCAAGGTTAAGTCCGCATTCCAGAAGAATTGGAGTGGGACATTCACTACCTGGTGCCTTACTCTACAAAAGGCTTCAATCTATTATTACTACATTGATTTGCTGTATATGTCACCATGGTGCTACTCTAGGTGGTTCACAACAATAAAAAAACCCAAAGAAATAAAAAAGAAGTTTAAACAAAATGAAAACGAAACAGAAGACTAAAATAAACAATGAAAAAGAAAATACACCAATATTAAATATTTTTACCACTAGTAAAAAAAAAATAAGAGGAGAGCAGAGAGTGGTGGAGGGGAGATGGAATCTGCTGTCTATCTAGCAACCATCTCTATTTCTATACTGTACTTACAACAAATTTCAAGTAGTCCATCAAAGCTTGACCAGTCTCTCTTTGGTACCTTACACAAATGCTACTGCATCATCACACAAGGGCTATCTTTGTTCTGAGAACAGTGTCTTGCTTTGTATTCTTTGAATTTTTCATTGTAACATTTGTTTTCACATTTTCCACAACATTTTGCCTTGTTCTGTATACTTGATCTTTCATACACTTTCATTCACAAAACGCACACAATGCTACATCACATGGGTGTCCAAAAGAGATGGCTGCTTTCTTTAGAATAATGAAAGCAGCATCTCAATGTTGCACCATATGCTTCGCCCCTTTGCACATATTAGGGCATTTATTTATATGGCTATCCAACTCAGTCACAGTGATTCTAGATGACTTTCAAAAATAAAACCCCAATACAAACCCAATCAACCCCCCCCCTTGTAATAAAAATCAAACTAACCACTTGGTGGACTCCATCATCACCCTGGGGTCTCCGGCAGAATCATGTTTTCAGGGCCTTATGAAAGAGTGTCAAAGTGGAGGTCAATCTTACTTCCACAGGGATGATATTCTACAGGGAGGGACCTACCTTCCACTTGGTCTCACTAGATGGACCTCCTTAAGAGAGATGGCCAGTAACATTCCCTGCCTTCCCACTCTGGTTGAGACTGTTCTTCAAATTACCTAGCCCCAGGCCATTATGGCTTTAAAGGTAACAACCACCATCTTGAATTGGAACCAGATGCAGCTCCTGCAAGAAAAGTGGCACATGTACAAATCTAGACTTGCACAGAACCATGAGGACAACTGCATTTTGAACCAACTGAAGCTTCCAGATACTTTTCAAGGACAGCCTCAAGTAGAATGCATTACAATAGTCAACATTATATATTAATATAAAACTGACATTAATAAAAAATATAGATTTTAATATACTGATTCATATTTCATTAACTAGTGTGGCTGTAGGTAAATTAATGTATTCTAGTATCTTTAAGTTGTGCTCAAAATCAATGGTTTAGACAGGAAACAGGCTGATTTGAGAACTGAGCAAGAATGAGTTCACAGTATGATGTTTCTTAATGTGACTTAGTTCACACAGCACACTAAAACTTAAAATGAACTCCAGAGATTAGCTGATATGTGAATCCAGCCATTACTGTTTGTAATCCATGACTTTCTATTTGGTGTGTTGTGTGAACATTGCCACTCCATGCAAAGTTTTAAGAACATGATATTAAATAAGGACAAATATTATACTGCACTCTTGATTTCTAACAATTCTGTTAGAATTGTTCGAATGTGTTAGAATGAATTCCAACGTTCATTCTGTACTGTACTTTGGATTAGTAGTGTGGATAGACTGTTGCACAGCTTTTCAGTACTGCTTCAAGGAAAATGATCTCTTTAGTCCAGTTCAGCAGAAGGAAAAGATCCCCAAATACACCAAGACAACATACATCATTGTGATGTGATTGAAATGATATGCAAGTCAGAAGCCCAAGATTATAATGGCCAGCGTCTAAAACTATATATTAGTGCCACTGAGTTTCTGAATGATTTGTGAATCATGCACCCAATATTCAGAAAATGTCCCTATGATACTCTATCAAAGTGAAAGTCGAGACTTTAAAGAGGCAGAATAGGAAGAGTATTGACACTTCTGAACTTTGCTGTTGGAGAAGATTCCTGAGTGGACAGTGGAACAGCCAATGAAACAAACCAGTGGATCCTTGAACAAATCAACCCAGAATTCTCATTCAAGACATCACATTATCCTACTTAGGACATATTCTATGAAGACCTAGCTCTCTGGAGAAGACTTTAATGCTGGGAAAGTTGGAAAAAATGGATGACCAGCAGCAAGGTGGATGGACTCAATTACAGTGACAATGAGCACACTATTAAGAGACTTGAAGGAACAGGTTAAGGAAAGAGCATTATGGAGGAAATATATCTGGTCTCTAGTAGTCAAACTTGACTTGATGACACGAGATCATAATCAGATAGTTTAGGCTTGCTGTTGACATGCACATAAATCATGAAAGCAACAGAATACCACCCTAAGATTTTGATAAGAGCCAGCAAATACCTTGTAAATTGGCTTCATGCCTTAAGGTTGTTTGTTAGGACAAACCCAACTAAAGGCATTTAACTTAACAAACCTGGACTAAGCAAGTCATAGGTCATATTTTAATGTTACCAATAGCACGTGCGAAAGTAAACCTGTTCCACTACCTAAACCAGGCTGAAGTTCGATTCTTCATCAATGCATTGCCACCAGACTTGGCACCTGATTTATCTGCCCCAAGGCTGAAGCAGCGCCCCAGTGGAGAACAGCAGGAGGAACGGAGCAAAAACGTTTTGCTTCGCAGCAAATACGGCCGTGGGCACCGAAAACCAAGGGGAGGCAAGGCGGGTAGAGGGGCAGCAGCGGCAGGAGGACGTTTCCAATATATTTGCAAGACAGACCGGTCGTTCCGGTTTCTTTTATATCTTCGCGAGTTGGCACAAAGCACAATTGTGAGAAACAAGATAAGCGGAATGTTTTTATTTATTATTTATTTATTTGATTTGTCAATCGCTTACAAGATAATAGGTATAAGTATAAACATAAGTAAGAATACAGAAAATAGGTACGAATAAATGGGGACAATAGGACAGTGCACGATGGTGCACTAATGCACGCCCCTTACAGACCTCTTAGGAATGGGGTGAGGTCAATAGTGGATAGTCTATGTCTAAGGAGATTCTCAGTCTTCCAGGTCATGGTTGTCCCAAAGCTGCTTTCTTCCCAAAAGGCAACTGGACTTTCTGGTTTTTTCTTTGAAGACGTTTCGCTTCTCATGCAAGAAGCTTCTGAAGAAGCAGAATCATCTTGGATGAGAAGAGAAACGTCTTCAAAGAAAAAACCAGAAAGTCCAGTTGCCTCTTGAAAAAGCCCCTTTGGGACACAAGGTAAGCGGAATACAGAGGGCGGGCGAGTCCCGCGCAAGCGAGCGAGCGCTGCAGCTACGAGTAAGGCGCAATCCGGCGTTGATTCGGAAACGCGTCCCGATGCGTTACTCAAAAGTTCTGGCCCCGAGTAAAGGATTACAACACAATTGCAACAGGAGGAACGTCCGCAAGGTCGCCTTCCGTGCCCAGGATCAGGACACGAACCCCCATCTAAGCACAACAACAACTAAGAAAGGCGCCGCGACCCTTTCCTCCCGGAGAAACCGCAACCGGGTAAGAGACGACCGGCCGCCCGGCTCAACGTCCCTCAGGCAAGTTTTGCTTCTCCTCCGCAGCCCGACGACCGCCCCTCCCGGTCGGACCACGTGTCCCAGGCGCTGCCGCGCAGGCCCCGCGATTGCTCCTCCTCTCCCCCCGCCCTCCCGAGAAGTCTGGCCGGAGCGGTGGAGGAAAATGGCGGCCGCGAAGGCGGCTGGGGCAGACGGCGGAGGAGGCAGCGGGAGCTGCTGAGCCGGGCCGGGGTCGAGAGCCCAGTCGGGAGCGGCGGAGGCTCCGAGCGGCCGTGAACGACTCGCGCGGTGAGTGGGAGGCTCGGAAGCACAAGAAGGGCTGAAGGGGGGGGGGGCCGCCGGGGGGGGGATGGCACCCCCCCCCCCCCTCCCCGCCCGCCGCCCCACACCGTCCCCGGCCCTTGGGAGTTCGCGCGATCGAACTCCGTTCACCCGCCACCTTCGCCTCCGACCCGTCGCTGTGGCTTCCTGGCCAAGCGCTCCTCAGTCGCCGTGGCGTTTGGGTTGCTTGGAGTTGTTCGCTTTCTCCTTCCCGGCTGAAAACCCAAACAAAAGCTCTGGGGGGGCCCCAAGGCAGGCGAGGAACCCCACTTTAGGGCTCCCTTAAACCCCGGGCTGTCTTGTTTGGAGGACTTCCCTACTTTTAGCCCTTCTTTTAAAACCCCCGAGGCTTCACTTCTGGCAGCCTCTTGTCTCTGTACACTTGCCAAGAGACGTCCAGCCTTTCCCTCCTCTGCCCCTTCTGGGTGGGTGACAAACACGCGTGTGTCCCGAAGCTCGTCCTTGTCTCCCCGCTCCCTCCCTTTTTCGCATTCTTCGCTTTCGCTCCTCTGTCTAGTTCCCGTTCTCTACTTTGCAGCAAAGATACTTGACTCTTTGCTATGGCGAGCTGATTTGCTGTGTGCACCGCACCGTCTTTCCCTCTCTCTCTCTCTTTTTCCCTCCCCTCCCTGCTCCTCTCCCTCGGTACCTTTTATGGTACCTTGCTATTTAGAACATCTGAATTGCGAGCCTTGGTTTCAGGGCTTTGCAATTGGTGCTTGCGCAAGAACTTTACACATCCTTCCGATTGACAGCGAGGTGCTGCTGAACCGAAGCAGAAGAAATCCTCTCGGATAGGTTATGATTTATAAAGAGTCTTGAAAACCCACCCAGCAATGAGGATCCGGTGATCAGCATTCCTTGGCCTGTTTGACCAGAACCTAAATCCTGTGTACTCTTATATGGGACTTGCTTCCAAGTAATTGCCCGGAAAATTGTGTTTTAAGTCTGTCTGTGCTGCCTCTGCTGGCTAAATAAGCAAAGAGTAACATTGTGTCCCATAAAGGGTGTATAATATGATTTGTGTATTGAGCAAGTGCATCCAAGCTCACTCCAGCCCCTGTGCTGGTTTTTTGCATTCTAGTGGACTTGACTCAGATGCCCAGTTTTCTATTTGTAAATTATACTTTCTGAGGATCCCTGCAGAGATGTCAGAATGAATTGCATGCTGTACTTTTTACCTTGGGATGAATCTGGCAAAGTTAAGGGTGGTTTTCCTGGTCAATCTGTATAGCTTTTTTCTGCCTGTAGTACAATAAAAGATTTTCTATCATATCTCCGATATGGCCTGGCTATTCTTTTCCTTTGGAGGCCCACTGGTGTTGGGGGTTTGTGTGTGAGAGCGAGGGCCCCCCTTCAGTGTTAACTCCTAGGGACTATCAGGAATAGTCCTGAGGTTTTCCTTGCAAGATTTACAGATGTATTAGCAAAATGTAAATAATAGAGCAGAATTGGCAAAGTAGCTTCAGCATCTTTGAAAACTACTGAAGAATGTGTGTACTGTGCTGTCTTTAATGTATACATTGACAGGTTTAGGATCACTAGCAGTCGTTAGCATCACTAATTAAAAGTCAAGACAGAAGCTGAATCAACAAACTACTCGCTTGAAATGAATTCCATATCTGAAAATTTATATCTAGCCACTTATAGTATTGTTTGAAAAGGGAGATTGTTTCTTGCTTTTGTCACATATTGCTTTTCTGAAGTCTCCAACTGAAGATTCTTGCATTTCTGGTTTTGGCATCAACAGTTCCAGGTTTTGATTTTGGTTTTGCCATGGATCAGCTAATTTTGGGTATAGAGTGCAATATAATATCTGTCTCCAGTATTCTGCAGGTACTTTCCTATTGACAAATATGGATATCTGTGAATTAGTTTCATATTTGTTTTAAGGAGAGTTTTTCCTTTTGCTATTTGGTTACATTTTTTTCTTAAAGTAGCGTTAAGGGCCAAAGTTTCTTATTTTGCACAAACACTCAGATTGTCCTTGAAAAATAATGTGGATAGTAGAATATTATTCTCTTAGTTTGCACACATGCATGCTGGGGATAATAGACATTTGGAATAGAATAGTAATGAAAGAGCTCATTTCTTGAACTAGATTTTTGATGCAATCTATTTTTTTCTGTATTAATTTTGTCCAATAATAGTGGACATAATGTACTGCAGCCAATTAACAAATGTTGTCCTGTATCAAAAACTGTTGTGTGTGAGTAATTTGTACCAATTTTGAAGCATTTTTACTGATAGCAATTTCCTTTGTATTACATATGTACTTTGAGAGGTTTTTATATTGAAATAACATAGAAGTTATTATCTGAAGATATTTTCTGCAAATATTAATCTTATTGCTTATATGAAAAGAGTAACAATCTATTCAACACAAGGAAAGTATATGTGTGTGTGTGTATGTATGTATATAATTGTTTTCACATTCTAATTCTTGTTTATTAAAATACCGTTAATATTTCCCAGAGTGGGATTTGGTACCATGAAGTTTATAATAGTGGACTATATATTGAATAGAAATAAAGTCAGAAGACATTTTATATGTCTTAAAAGCATTTAAAACCTTCATTCAGTTCAGAAGTGATACCAACCAATGGTTTGTGATTAAGGGCTTCTTTCTCCACTTCTTAATTCTGCTGTGGTTTTGGTCTCGGTGTTTTTTCTCTGTATGTTATAGTTAAAATTCTCTAGGCTACACTAATGTATTCAATTCAGTTTATGTGGCAACCCATCTCATCATTATGACCCTGGGTGTCTCACAGCAGTTAAAAAGACACAACCAAGAGTAAAAATAATTAAGAGGCATTTGCTTAAAACCCATGATTTTAAAAGAGACAAAACCTTTGATGCAAAACCTGTACTTTTATACTTGAATCCTGATGTCAGGCACAAGTTCAGCATATGTCATGGTTTTGTGTTGTGATGTTACAATATATCTCATAACTTAACAGCCCCATTTGGGTACCAATGGTTGTAACCATGGCTCAGAGTAGAGTAACATATTAATATTTAGAGGTCATAAAAAATCCTACATGGGATACTGTAGGCCAGGGCTGTCAAATTCCTGGCCCATGGGCGTAATGCATTACGTGCTGGCCACACCCACGCCCAGTTTAGCGAAGGGGGAAAAAGTCCCGATATGTCATGTGACACAGCTGTGACGACGTGAGTTTGACACCCCTGCTATAGGCTGTGTCTATTCATAATAAACTAGGAACTAGGAAAGCTAGGAAACTAGGAAAGGGAAGAAGGATAGAAGAGTAAAAAAAATACACAACTTTGGGAATTAATGCATATCAATTGGCATTCCTACTGCAAAGTCTGGATTTTCTGAAGCTTAAAATATGAAACTAGTTATGATAGAATGAGATTGTTAACAGTTTACCTGCATCAGTTGGAGATGAAATTCATTATGATAGCATAGAAAAATGATGCCATATAACTTGGTTACTCCATTGCAATATTGCATAATGCACCCTGCAGGAAGGCTAAGCAACCTGTTCAGTTAGTAGATTGCATTAGATTTTGAGTGAATAATACATGCCATCCAATTTTTTGTTGCAATTCTGTAGATTAGAAATTTATTTTAAATACTTTTTTCCTCATAGGATTTTAATCTCAGAGTAGGTAAGGCTACTCTCTTCTTGGCCCAGCAAGGTCAAGGAATAATAATAAGCTGCACACCTGCTTTGAATAACAATTCTGATATCTGAATGAAATGCTGATGTCGCTGAGCTGAGTGGAAGAGGTGGTTCTTCATTTGTCTATACAGAGTGCAGTTCCTAACAGTACAACTAATAGGTGATAGTTTTCACGTTAAAATAAAGTTCAGAAAACAGGTGTATCACCCTGCTGATCACCCTGCTGATGTGATATTCTTTGATCCAATCGAATTTTCTGTCAGCGTATCAGCCAAAAGTACTTTCTAGTGATTCACACCCAGCATCCTTCCAGAACTGTTCAAGGGAATTTTCGTAGTGTGACATAAGTTAATTCTGAAGAAAGCATGCCTCTCAATGGGACAATTTTGCAATAGGCATGTTGATGCATTCTGTAGTATTGGTTCCCTTCAAAAGGTATAGGAAATTTGTAGTAATTCCTTTAATTATTTATATAAAAATTTGCATGTTGCCTATTTACCAGACTCTTGGCTTTATAAGTGTGCAGTACAATGAAAGGCAAGATGGCAAGCTTAGGCCAGTCAGTCTCTCTCAGAATGGTTGTTGTGGGGAAAATAGGAGGAGGAAGATGGATATTTACCACCTTTGAGTTATTTGTAAAAAAAACACCAGGACACAAATAATTAAATAGATAAATATCCAAAAATATAATGTGAGAATTGAATCTGAAGTTTCATTGTTAATGAGAAAATGTGAACAGAGCTGTCCTTTATGTAAGTTATTACATTGGTTTAAATTATGCTTTAGGTCAATACCTTTTTAAAATTTTATTTTATTTTTTCTACCATTCTTTTCTAATTGGAACAATCTGGGCTTTGATGGGGGGGAATTAATTTCAATTAATTACCCCATATATATGGATACCATTCTAGTGTTTCAAATATAGGCATACCATTTGTTGCTAGTTGATTTTAAAGGTTGATAGTGACACATGGAATATAAGACTTGTTTTCACAAGTGATCTCAGAACACATGTACAAGCATGCTGCAGTGTTGTGTTGTCAGATCTGGAGCCTGTCCAGTTTGCTTGAAAATCAGTGTGTAGAAGTGAACATAGTATTTAGTCAAACATTGATTAATAGCCCAAATTAACTTTGTTTATAATTATGCTGCCCAGTAGAGTGGTTAAATGCTGTTTGAAGTTATGACAATCGTCACCTGGATGCCTGAGAAAACAGGAAGTTATAACAGCTTCAGAAAGGGTAATTAAGGCCCATAAAATGCCATGCATCCCCCATTCCATGCAATCAGATGACCACATTTCAGGCTTCTGGCAAC